ACACACGACGCGACGCGACGCGACGGATCGCGTCGCCGAGACGAGGGTGCAGGAGGAAGAGGATGAAAGGTGAATCGAGAAGAGACAGAGGACAAGATGCAAAGTCACCGTGGGAGAACAGTGACCGTGAGACTAGTCCGAGTGGTCGGCGCGATGTTCACTGGCACTGGCGCGTTCGTTCTCGTCGTCGTCGCTCGTGGCCACGCAGTCGCGAAACGGCGGCGATCTCTCTCCTCCGTGGTTTCCGCGACGAAAGTCCGAACAACGGAAGGCGAAAACTCGGAAGGCCGCGGCTACTCTCCCCTCCCTCCGCTCCGCTTGTGTGCGCGAGTGCGTGTGGAGAGATGCTCGCGGCGCAATCACACCGCGTCAGCTGATCGGCCGATCGCGGCCACTTCCGGGGCGCGTTTGCTCGCGTTTGTTCGAAACGAGCGTGTTCGCACGCCACGTTGCTCTCACGTTCGCGCGGGATTCACACCAGGCTGGCCGACCAAAGTGGGAGAGGAACGGGTTTCAGTGGATATCGAACCGCGGCGGCCGGTAGTCGTCGGCTGGCTTCATCGCGCTAGGCGAGTCCACCTCGAGCGAGGACGAGGCTCCGCGACGTCGAAGGGGAAATGGCGCGCGAAACGGTTGCGAGGCCATTCTCAAGGACGCTCGAAAGGATTTCGAGAGTAGCGGATCGAGGGAAGGAAGGGTGGTGGTGGAGGAGGAGGAGGAGGGAACACACCACCGATAAAAGCCCACCGTCACGCAATTCGTTTCGTTCCAATCGCCGGGACACGAGTCCGCCTCGTGCAACCACTGCTCGTCCTCGTCCTCGTCCTCGTCCTCGTCCTCGTCCTCGTCCTCGATTCTCTCCTCGATCTCGAAGAACGTTACAAATCGTCGCTCGATCGTCGTCTCTGTTTGTTACGACGAGAGAAATGAGAAACGCGATCAGAAACGGGAGAGGGTGCACTGCCGCCGCGCGTCCCGTCGATTCGATTAGCGGCGGTAACCACCCCCCGGCGGCGGAACCGTGTTTTCCTCGTTGCGAGCTGCTCTCTTCAGCCTCGCTTCCCCTTGCGCCACCCGCTTCCGCCCCTTCGTCGTTGGTTTTTCACCCAGTCGTACGAGGCACGTTCACGCGGATGGTCGAGGGTGAATCGGGCAAGAGAGACTCGGAATTCCCTCGAATATCGCCGCGCGACAGCCAGACAGACGGGTCCACTTTGGCGCGCGCGAGTTTACGACGGGGGGAAGGATCGCTATCGGATGGGAAGTCGCGGACGCGAGAACACTGGCGAAGGCGTGCAGCGCGGCTGAAAACAAAGGGTGGGAAGCAGGGTGGAAGCGTGGACGCGCGACACGGAACGAAGGACACGTAACGAGAGAAGAAAGTGAAAGAAAGGAAAGAGAACAAGAAGAAGAAGAAGAAGAAGAAGAAGAAGAAGAAAAGACACGGGAGAGACTGGAAGGAAACGGAGAGCATTCGAGTCACACCGCACTGTCGCACACAGGAGAAAGAGAGAGAGAGAGAGAGAGAGAGAGCGAGACGGTTGATAATGACGACGACGACGACGACAACGAGGGTTGACGATGACGTCGCGCGACCACCGGTAGGCAAATTCACCTCCGACAACCACGTTTCCCCGTGTTTCGTGGGTCTCTGAATCGTCGGCAGACGGACGTGCGTGTTGCAAGACTCTCGTAGATACCAGAAAAGGACGAAACGACCGACGACTAGGGTAGGGGGGATGGCGTGGAGGCGCGCGAATAGGGGCGGAAGGGCGGACGGCAGGATGGAGGAGGGAGGCAGAGCGAGAGAGCAGCGGAAAGATGGTAAAAGCCGAGGAGTAAGAAACAACCGTGAAGCGACGATGAAATAACGAGTGTCTCTCTCTTTCTCTCGTGTATGTGTGCATATGTGGAAAAGAGAGAGAGAGAAAAAAAAAGAGAGAAAGAGGGAAAAACGGGCGAAGGGATGACCACGAGTGTTTAAGCGGTAACGAGACGAAAAAGAAAAAGAGAGAGAAAGAGAGAGAGAGAGAGAGAGAGAGAGAGAGAGTTAAAACGGTGAGGTGTTTGTGCGTTTAGGAGTAGGTAGGTTGGACCTGGTGGCAAAGGATGGCAGAGGTGCCAGGCTTGATGCTTGGAAGCGCCGCGGCGTTGCAAGGCGGCGCCACCGTCGCTGCAAAATCTCTCTCCCACTGCCTCCTCTGTCCTTCCTCTCCCAGCTTTCTCCATTTCTCTTCACCCACCCCTGTTCTCTATCCGTTCCGAGTTTTCGAGTGGCGTCTCTGTCACGACGATAATCGCGTCTCGCTCGGTCAGCCTCCTCCGGGAGGAGGAGGAAGAGGAGAAGGAAGAGGAGGAAGGGCACGAGAAGGACGAAGGGGTGCGGAGGGTGGAGTTTAGTTGGGCGGGCAACGCGTGTGCCTGTTGGAAGCGACCACGGCACACGCTCGCTCTCTCGTAGTCGTCCATTCGTGTGCTCTGTGTTCGAGACCGGGTTTCACCGCGTTTGTATATGCCGAAAACGGGTTTGTGCGCACCGGCGGGTGCGCGTGGATGTATGAACGACAGGGTGGAATACACCCTCCACCCACTCGCCCATCCATCCATCCGCCCCCAATCCCCGCCACACCGTACCGTTCCCGCTGCTGCTCGTGCGTCGGGTTCCAAAGTCGATATCTAGCCACGCCGGCGACTCCTGTATTATCCTCCGACACCTTCCAACCTCCCTTTTCTTCTTCCACGTTTCCCAGTCACTCGCCGCGATTTCTTCCGTTGCCACGCTCCGCCGAATCCACCCGATTCGAGAGATTTAGAAGCGGAGATTCTTGCTGCATCCACCCACCCAGCCTACCACTTACTCTGACTTTCCTCCAAAATCCTGTCCCTCCGATAAGTACAATAAGTACAATAAGGATCCTCTCCTCGAGGCTTTCGATG